ATATTTATATATATATATATATATATATATATATATATATATATATAAGAGAGAGAGAGAGAGATAGATAGATAGATAGATAGATAGATAGATGTGTGTGTGTGTGTGTATGCTCTGTCTTTCTTCAGGTGATTGGAATTTCAAACCAAACACTTTATTTCATCCACTTGGGTAGATTGTACAACAGACAAAATGTTGTGAATATGCCAATGAAGATGAGGATAACAATGTAAATAATGTAAGTAATCATAATACCTCATCTCAGAGGACACAGACATATATATATATATATATATATATATATATATATATTTTGTGTGTGTGTGTAATTGGTTCTGGGTCTGCTTGTGGAAAATGAAATCAGTAAATGTCCTAGTCACTTATATAAAATAGTATAGTATTTGCATAAGAGATAGTATTCAAAAGATCAGACAATTTTTTTGATTCTATTGTTTCATAGAAGTAGGCATCCAGCTAACACTCATTAGGACCAAGCCTAGTGAGTCAGTCTGACAGTAGGCTTCATGCTACCTACTCATTTTTAATTACTAAACAAGATTTTGTAAAGTTGTACTGGAATAACTCCACAGTCTTTACAATGAGTAAAAAAAATTTTTTCCGTGTGTTCAATGTCATGAAAAGCTCAGCAAATCCGAAACAAACTCTTAAAATGCTTTGTTAGGGTTTTTTTTTCTCAAAGCAACTTTTGATACTTTACCATTCCACTTTGTCCTTGTATTGCTCTCCATCCACAAAAACTTGTTTAAGAAGTTTACTTGCTATTTCCCCAACTTTTCATGCTTTCAAAATGTCTTATGGGTGTTAGATTCTCCAGCCTTTTTTTTCCTGAAGTCTCAGTAATTCAAAAATTAAAAGCCAATAAGACAGACTTTCTAAAGGACAGTTTTTCCTATAAGCACTGCTTTTTTTTTTTAACCACTTTCACTCTTTGGCAATGTTTATTGCTTTAAAAAGCAATCATTAGAACTGTAATAAAACCTAAATATATTAAAGTGAATTTATAAAATATTCACTGTCATGCATTTAGGTTTTATTCTAATTCTAATCATCACTTTTTAATACAATGTACATGACCAAATGACGTCAGTTAAAAAAGCTGTGTCATGGGTAAAACTGTCTTATTGCAGGCACATTTATCCATGTTTGCCAAAATTTATACATCATTTTCTTCTACACATCCATATAAAATTTAGCATGGAAAATATGCTGCCTTATTTCCTAAAATATCTTCCAATATCACTCTTGTATCTAAGCATTATAAGGAAATGATGTTGAAGCTGGTTTTCACTCCTCACTCTTTCTCTCAGAGGAATACAAGTCACATACATATTGATCTATGCCTGTCTTATATCTGTAATTTAAATCCTGGAAGGATCTTTTAGTGCATCATGATTTGGTTACATTTATTTATATTTTAAGTATTTTACGACAGCTGTTCACCGAAGCCTAACTATAAAGTATGTAAACCAACAGATGTAATTTTTTTGTGAAGTAATTTTTTTTTTTTAGTTTAATCAATGATT